ACTGCGAGGATAGTCTGCCTACCTAGCTTGCGCTGCCAACTAAGACGGATATCCACCAGCCTACCCACAGCGATAACCACCATCAACCAAGCCGACCCAACTTGCCTTCTTCTCCGCATTCCTGACGCTTCAGGTTTTGCCGACAACCACCCAACCCATCCCCACGCTCTTTTCAAAAACACCCTACATCTTCCCTCGACTTGTTTGCCCCCAGCTGCCCGTCCTCCGCCGCTGGTTGCCATCTTGCTCACGACCTCCGACTCTCTGAATATCCGCCGGGCTTGCCGTTGTCCTGGAAGCGCCGTGAGGATCAACGAAGGGCCAAGAAGTCACGCCACGGATGCTCAAGGCTTGGCGGTGACGCCAACGTCAGTCGGCCGTTGTTCAAATACTCACGTAGACGACCAACCCCAACACTCTTGTCCGAGAGAGAGAGAGAGAGAGGCGACGGAATCCCTCTTTTTTCAACAGACTTGGAGCGCCGTCTTCATGATAATCATGCCAGATTACCGTCCCGGGATGAATGGCATCATCATTGGTCTGTTATCGTCCTTCGGGTCGGCGATACTGATCGGCTGCTTCTTCCTCATCTTCTACTTCTTCCGCTGCACAACGTCAGGGCGCATCTTCCTCGACCGCATTGGTCGACCCGGCGAATACGATGACGAGCAACAGTTTCTGCGGGAGGAGGCTGAGGCCCTCGAGACGATGGATGATATGCAACGGACGGAATACTTGAGAGCAAAAGGTAAAGCGGCGGTTGTTGCTGTCTACATAGTATGCGCTTTTTGCCACATCTGGAAAAGTGTTGCTGACGCGATCCTCACTTTTAGCTTTTATCGCCGCCAACCCACCCGAGTCCCTGCAGACGGACATTTCGCTATCCCAATATCTTGCCATACAGGAGAAGGGAGTGTCGGCCTGGGAGTTTGAGCCGGAGCTGGAAATCGCAAATTGCTTTGTCGAGGCCCGCACCGAGATCGAGTTCTTCGATTCCGAATGCACCGTCATGAGTAACCTGCCGGTACCGAAGCAGAATGAGGTTTACTACTGGGAGGCCAAGATTTACGATAAGCCGGAGAATACGTTGATTAGCATAGGAATGGCTACCAAGCCGTATCCTCTGTTCAGGCTCCCTGGTTGGTACACTTCCGTTACTATCCTCCAGAACAAAGTCACTAACGAACCTTCTAGGCTTTCACAAGTACTCTGTCGCGTACCTATCCAACGGAACCCGTCGCTACAACCAACCTTTCAATGCTACTTCCTACGGCCCGCAAGTTGTTCAAGGCGATGTTATTGGCGTCGGCTACCGCCCGCGAAGTGGCACGATTTTCTTCACCCGAAACGGAAAGAAGTTGGAGGATGTAGTACACGGTTTGAAGTCGCAAAACTTCTTCCCCTCGATCGGCGCGAACGGACCCTGCATCGTCCATGTCAACTTTGGTCAGGCTGGCTTTGTCTTCATCGAAGCCAATGTCAAGAAGTGGGGTCTCGCTCCTATGACTGGCTCGCTCGCACCGCCACCGCCATATGGTTCCGAGCAAGGCAGTATTCTCCTCGAGGCCGGCACCAAGGATGGGTTTACCAGCACGCTTGGACGTGGGCGCGGGTATAGTCATCCCGTGCAGACATATTCTAGACAAGGCTTGGCTGCAGTCGACTCTTCTCATAACCGCACACGATCAGGCAACTTTCGAATGTTTCCACCAACGAGCCCAGGACCCGTTCGTAGCCCGACAGATATCTCGCTTGCTCATTTGGTACCCACGGAGGATGCAGGCGAACCTAGCAGTAGTGCTGCAGCGTTGGTCGACCAAGATGGGCAGCCCATAACCGGTGGATTCCTCAGTCCGGATCAGCCACCTCCCGAGTATACCAGCCCTGTCAACTCTCGACCGGGGAGCAGGAGACATAGCTCCGACAGCGAAAACACTCCTCTTATCCAACTCAGCGGCAGGAGTCGAGGTGCCTCGTCAGCCACAGCAAGGCCGATTCAGAGCGGTGGAAGCCACAACAGGCCAAGGGCAGGTTCTCATAGGCCGCCGAGCCCTCCGATTCCGAGCTATCAGGATGCGGTTCGACAAGGCGCTGGACGTGATAGGAGTGACAGCACGAGAAGTGCGAGGGACTCGAGTTAAAAGGCTGCAAATCGGGATGGGAGGGAAACTCGTAATGCGCGCTGGTGCCGCAGCAAATCATTGAGACACAGGTGCCCATTATTATGAGGATCCCCTGGACAGGGACAAAGACTGAGGGAGTGATATGTTTCGGAACTGGAAACCGGAAAAAAGCATCCCGCTCATCATTACAGACAAGACAGACAAGACAAGACACACTCAATCAGAGGAAAACTAGCGCCGGCAAAGGAAGTTGGTCATTCACCAATATCATCGTGCCATAAAGAAGGATATTCAGAAACAGAGGCCATTGAGTGCGGGATGCATGGAGGTCATCGTCATCGTCAGTAGGTGAAAAACGAACGATCAATCAACACAAACAAACAGGCATGTAGGAGTCAAGGTGTTATTGGTTACCTTTCTTCCGTTCTTTTCATGTTTTCACTTTTTCATCATCAAGCACATTAGGGGGGGGTTGCTAATTTGCACTGGCTTCAAATCGGGGTAGTGGTAATCGTTCATGGTGATTAGGCCAAGGGATTGGAGCATTGGTGATCAATGGCATTTCAAACTCGAACCTCATCTCATCTCATCTATGCTTAAAGTTGGTTTGGGTTGGCAGGTTGGCAGGTTGGCTATTGGACGGAGGGTGGGTGGGGTTGATATATTCCTTTTCTCTTGTTTTTAATTTACTACTGTCTTAGCCCGGTGATTATACCAAAAACTGCTCGCGAGACACACTCCGCTGCTTCTAAATACGTACGTAGCTACACTCAAAGAAGTATTTATACCATTTGTTATCCACACTCACTGCGTGGCTCTGTCTCTGAAGTTTCTGTGCCGAAATGAGGAATGTCTCTGGCAAAGCATTCGTCCGATGTATCGGAGTCTGGTTCAAGTAAGAGAGAGCTGTTAATGCCCCAGTCCCATTTTCGCAGAATCCCGAAACCCCTGAACAAATAAGAACATCAGCCAGCTTCTATATAAGTGTCTTTCCGAGCTCTAAACCCAGGCCGCGGACAAGACAGCGCAGGCCATGGAGTAAGTTCCGATGAAATATACTTCACCTCCTTCAAAACTGAGAAATGAAGAAAGCGAGCTAGGTCAGTGTCCCAACTAATAATGGCAGAGCGAATTCAAAAAAAGTAACCTTCCATCCTTTCACCCATTCAATATCTCCTAAACCAGAACAGGTCTTTTCCACCTCGCCGCGATCCGTAGACTACTACTCCCTCCCTGCTTAGCTGTATTCCCTCCATTTTGAAGTAAAGAAGTCTACATGTGAACATGTGAAGAAGAAAAGATGGAAGTCGTTCGTTCGTTGACATTCCACCCCTCTCTCTCCCCCTTTTCTCTTCGAGTACCCAATTTCTCTCTTTCTCCTATAACAACGCTCCTTCCCAAATAGCCTGGAGAAGCTTCTAAGTGGGTCATGTGACGACGAGAACTTGTTCTCGCCCTCGTTTTCTCTGTTTTAGGTTTCCCGATTGGCAAGGAAGAGAGAAAAAAGAAGGAAGGAAGGAAAGATGGATGGATGGATACCCACACGTTATTGTGGTTTTGTATGTTTGTATCAACCCGGTCGGGAGGTGCATATCCCCTTACTACTTCCTCCCACCTTTTTACCTGTAGTGCTCAAATCCCGCTTGAGGTACCTTCTTTTGGCTTCCGGGCTAGCAGACGCCCAATCGCATGATACACAGAGGTTGTAAGGCTTGATTAGTGGTCAGTTGGTGTATAGAATTCCGGTCAGGTGAAGGGGTCTGTCTATCTTAGACAAAAGCGGCCGCAGCATTAGTGTGGAAAGTATTTGATAAGGTTGGTTTGGTGTTGTTGAAACTGCCTACCGGTGAAATTATGCGACACATGATTGGAGGTGATGGTGATACATTGGGAACAGACACTCGATGTTGTTTCGTCATATACATAGCCCTAGATGTACTAAGAATCACTGCTGTCGTCGAGTACTGAATTGAAACCGTGTCTTTCGTCCGGGCTACTCACTAGATGCACCCTGGGAAGAAGTGATGGTTTTGACTTGTGACAATTATATCTGGTGTCTACACATTCTCCAGCTTATACTTTTCTTCTGTCGTAAATAGTTCACTCCCATCTCTCACTCCCCTCGTCCCTCATCCCTCGTGCCCCTTCTTCCATCCCTCTCTGCATTCCTCTGTGTCCCTCCTCGTCTTCCCAATCCCTGCCTCCGCCTTCTCCAACTCTATAAACAACCTAACCCTTTTGACTCGAGCTCATGAAGTTCTCGCACCGTTCTCCTCTTCCTCCTTTCCCGTCTTTCTCTTCCTGAATCTTCCTCCATATGATCATCCTGGTCGGCCTCCATTTTCTTCCATCTCAAGATATCAGGAATAAAACGAAAATCAAAACCAAGTCTCAGAGATTAGGTGAGCAGAAACATGAATATCTGCCTTGGAATCACGGAAAGATAGACATATGTCGATATCGTAGGGTCAGTCAGTCAGTCAGTCAGTCAGTCAGTCAGTCAACAAGGGAACAGATGATGTTGTGTGTGTGGTAGCTGCTAGTCATATCATTTCATTTGTCAGACTGACTTCGACTCAGACCATGCGGCATGCTTTGCAGACCGGGACTTTGATGATACAAATAATGTGCTTGCATATTCAGACCAGAGGATAGGTTATCATGTTTATATGCGTACACCGGTATAGGTGTTATTTATGTTGGCAGTTCAATGTTGTAAATCAAACTCTATGGATTCTTCTACTCTTTTAGGGTTCGTTGCCTATCATGACCAACTTCCTTTCAATGAATAAATTCATAGGACATCACTGAGGTATGATAGACCGCCGGGTGTGAACATGACACGAGATCACATCCAACGAATAGTTCAACCAAGATGAAATTTAGGTTAGATATAACGAAGCAAATCACTAGATACGAAGAAGACCTTCCCTTATCCTATCTCACCGGCCATATCCTCGTCCTCATCCTGTCCGCCACCCGAAACGCCCAACGTACACCAGATCTGATGAGAAGCAAGCAAGCAAGCAAGATTTGTCAAGTTGATCTTAGCTGAGCTGGACTCTTGCCATATCTTGTCTGAATTCATCTCTTTTAAAGTCACTCACACTCTCTCTCCCTTTCGTCGCTGTACATAGACCATAAAGGATCAAATAACCCCTGCATCCAAACTTTTACTACTCGTTAGAAGAAAAAAGAGGTAAGATAGAAGAGAGCAAAAGAAATATTGAGCTGCAGGTTTGATCACGACTTCATCGCTATCACGCTATCCGAAGCTATTAATTTACCCCTCTCACATCATCAGTCCAACAACTTAGGAGGACGCAGCAGCAAAGCGCTTCGCTCTAGCCTCCATCTTGGCCTTTTCCGCTGGGTCGATAGCAGCAGCAGGCTTTTTCTGTTGTTGCTGCTGCTGTTGCTTGGGCTGATTCCCTTGCTGCCTGCTGTTGTTTTGACTTTGACCACCACGGTTGTTGTTGCTGTTGTTGTTGTTGTTGTTCCTATTCCTACCATGCCTGTTCCTTCCACCACCAGCACCACCACCACCTTGACTCTGGTTGCCGCCCTTGTTCTCTTGAGGAGCAGCAGCAGTAGTCTTCTGCTGCTTAGCTGCCCTCTCACTGCCACCCTCCTCGCCAGCACCCTCCTCTTTGCCGCCACGACCACGCTTGCGCGGCCTATCGGGTAACGCGCTGTCGAGAGCTGACACCTGGTCGTTAGCCAGGCCAAAGCGGGCGGCGCGCGCAGCTTTCTGGGCCTCCTCGGACTTCTCGTCTGTCGTGATGCCAAAGCGGGCGGCGCGGGCGGCGCGCTTCTCGGCTTCGGACTTGGCATCGGTGGGGGGAAGGTGTTGGGAGAAGAGAGGCTCGGCCGGCTTCTGCTCCTCTGCTTTGCTGGGATCTTCGGCAGTAGTAGCGGTGGTGGTAGTAGTGTCCTTGGCGGCGACCTCCTCTCCCTGAGCGGAAGAAGCGGCGGGTTGTTCTGTGCTGGCAGCGGCAGCGGGGGCGGCTTCTGTTGTCTTCTTTTCCTCGGATTCTACTGGGGCCTTGGGCTCTGACTCTGTAGCGGTCTCGGCGGCGACGGCGCTGGCAGGGGCTTTCTCGTCGGTGGTCTCGGTGGCGGCCTTCTTGTCGCCGGCGGGGAAGTCATCATCCTCGTAGTCAATTTCATCCTCAGCCTCGCCGTCCTTCTTGGTGGTGGCTAAATTGAAAGTGAAGTGTCAGTGACTGGTGTTCCTGCGATCATGATGTTGGTGGCAAGGTGAGTTCTGTGGTGAGTTGCGCGTTGGAAGCGGTCTGGGTGACACAAACGGCCACCTCTTAAAAGATGGGCATCGATCGAACAATAATGGTATGGTAGCGATCGTGGGGTACAAGTGTGGAGGCTTGAAACGCGTTCGTGATCGCAGGGCGACGTGACGGGCTTTCTCGCAGCCAGGGAGAGGATGATGATCGAATCGAGGAAAACTGACCGGGCGCGGCATCGGCGGGCTTCGCCTGCTGTTTGTCGTGCTCCTGAAGACGAGCGATCAGGTCGGCCTTGTTGCCGGTCTGGGGCAAAGAGCGCTCGTTGAGGAGCTTCTTGAGCTCGGGGACCTTCATGCTGTTGTAGTCCGACATTGTGGATTGGTGGTCGGCGGCGCCGTTTGCACCTGCTTGACAGCTAAGAAGTACTTTAAAAGGTAGTTGACAGTTATGACGGTTAATGGACTGAGTCGCGGGTAGAGATGATGGTTGCGATACAGAAAAGAGAAAGTATGTTGTTGGCCTGCTTGTTGTAAAGGAGAGAAGGGAGAAGTGGAAGACGGAAGTGGAAGTGGAATTACGTGGTTGTTGTCGGGGTGGGTACAACAACCACACACAGCCTTGGTGGTTTCTTTGACGTTGTGTTGCAGTCGCAGCAGGGCAGGCAAGGCGGGCAGGGAAACTTGTCCAAAGAAATGGGGCCTGGACCTCACTCAGCTGGGACCTGGTCACTGTTGCTCCGGTGCGGGCATGGATGCCGCCCGCCTGCCCTGGGCTGTGGGTGGGTTTCCATTGGCCGGGGCCCTTCGCTTGGCATCGCCCGCCCGCCCCCCTGGCAGCGCCAAAACCTTGCCGCTCCCTGCCGGACGGGCATGCTTCATCACCACTGCACTCAGCAATAAGTGGATAGGTAGTGAAGGGAAAGCTGCACGCACTGTCCTACTGTTTTAGTCCGGCTCAATAGCTGCTGCAGTATCGGATGACAACGAATGTACATACCTCCAGGTATGAGAGGCAAGACGGCTACTTTGACGGCGATTTGCAGAGCGACAATATCCTTCTTCTACACAAGCGACTATTGTTGCTTATTGTAGCTGCGGTCTTCACCCTAACTCGTACTGAAGCAATCAGGGACAGTTTGTGGACTCAAAGCAGCAAAAAGAGCACTTTGGTATATTGAATTTCTACAATGACCACATTCCCATACCCGTTACTCCACCTCGACACCATGGTGATATCTCTACACTCAAATACCAGCAGCCGCACCTCCTCCTCCCAATCCTCCCCTTGCTCTTTGCGCCGCCGACCCCGTCTTCCTCCGTCTTAAATAATTCTGATTCCTCAAGTTCTCCGCCGTCAACCGGTCCCTCGTGACCATCTTATCGAAATGCTCGTGTCCAACACTGATCACCTTGATCACATTTCCAAGCCCCACCGCCACGCTCGCCGTGCCCAGCCTTACCATGGGCCCCAGCTCTGAAACCCACAAGTTATCATACATGGCGTCCTCCACGTCCGCTTGTTGATCAAGCGGCTGCGTCTCGATACCTTTGGTCTTGGCACTTTCCAGATTGTTGAAGGCCCAGGCCTCCCATACCGTCATGCCCATGTCTGGAGTTGTGACATCGGTAGAATCAGCAGCTGTGCCACCGCTTCCTGCTCCACGTCGTCGCAAACCGTATCCGACTCCGACTCCTGATGACACCGCCCGGAAGCTCCTACGTCGTGATGACGACAAGGAGGCCACAGGCACTCGTCTGACACCCACGATACCTCCGTTCGGGAGTATCTCCCAGCGACCTGGTTTCTCGATTCGCTTCTTTACTTCTTTCTCCTCATTCCATGGCTGGTTCGGCGCTTCAGGAGCATAATCCTTGGGATAATGCATGGGATCGACCTCGTCTGCTCGGTAAAAGGTCTGAATCACGAGATCGCCCGTCTCCAAACTGATGTAGCACAGCGACAAGGGCGGTAGCCCGTGCTGCGGAGCTCCACGAGAGGATAGTAGGAGCTTCAATGATCGTGGCTCCATGGGTTCGGTGTTAAAGGTCTGAATGACGGCCGACGATTCAAGATCGACCAGGTCAACCGAGCGGGATCTGCAGACGAGGTACATGGATAGGTCAGGTGCAGGGACGATGGAGTGGATGTCCTTCGCCTCGCCTGTCGTGAGCTTCACTTCCTTGGAAGTCCACCCGCCAGGTTGCTGTCGTACAATGTGGATGCAGCTTTTGCGTGATAGCGTCAGGATTGAAAGCGACTGGCTGACTTGGTTTGCAGAGGCTAATTCATCAACCTCTTAGTAACTACTTCGTCGAGAAATGGAAAGGGTTAGACTTACTGGGCTCTACAAATGGCAGCGCCATGGCAAAAGGAGTCTTGCAAATGGTAAACTCCTTGGACGCCGTACCTTCAAGGTCAAGCTCAAACATTGTGCCATTCTTCCTCACAACAACAAGAGACGGCGTATCCAAAGTCTTGTTCGTATAGTTGAAGAACATGGCTTCCGGTTTGTGACCGCCAAGTTCGACCTCAATCGACAACCCCCATTGCTGCTCGTCAGTATCCCAAAGCAGAACCCTTTGCCATGTCAGTAAAGCCAACCACTTCGAGTCATCATCAATTGCCATAGCCAGAACTGGGAACGGATTTTCCAGAGGAGTTTCAGAATCGGACATGACGCGCGTCCGCGAGTTCAGTGGTACATCCCAAATCTGAATGTTCCTGTCCAGCCCTACGGAAACAAGCTTGTGGCCTGGCGAAACAGCCATCTTGACGACGTCAAGGTCATGGCCGTGACTGAGACTTCGTACCGACAGCAGAGGCTCGTTTTCAGGATGGTCAGGATCACCTGCCTGCTTGTCATTGCCCTGTAGGAGGTAGTTGGTAAGAAGCAGAAGCAGGGCCACCAGCGTCAACATGATCACCACGAAGCGCGGAATCTCGTTGTGAATGAAGTCGTACACGGCCGGCAGAAACATGGGCTCCGGGCTGTGGGGGATGCGATTGGAGCCCTTTGCTACAAAAACCAGTGGTTCGTACACGCGCGCGACGTAACTATGCGCCCAAGGCTTGACCACGTTGATAACTTCTCGCGCAGTCTCATGATCCTGAAGGCGGAGCCACGACGTAGGGCTTCTGGCTTGATGGATGTCGACCAAGTGTGAAGACTTGGAGAAGGCAGGTTCGGCAACCCTCCAGGATCGCGTGAATATCCAGTTGAGCCACTGGCTGCCGCTCTCTAGCGCATAGTGAGACTGCGCAAGCAAGATGAAGCCAAGAATGACTATGGTACCAGCAACCCGGGTTGATACGGTTGCCCCACCATGGCGAATCCGGCGGATACGATCGAACAAGGTGATCTCGTAGACATCGTTGGTTTTCCTCAACGAAGCCTTTTCCAGCTCATAAAGTTCCCGCTGGCGCACATCCACGCTAAGAACCGCTAGGAAGAAAGTTGCAAGGTAGAGAAAATCGAAGACAATGGCAACTGCAGCAAACGTGCAGAAGGCAGCAACACCCGGGAACGTGATCCTGGATAGGCCGAGGAGGATAGCCAGGTTCTGCAACCTGTTAAGGATGGCGACATAAGCGGTCTGGCCGAAGGCCTCTCCTATCCTGTCGCTGATGCTGATGGACGAAGAGGTCATAATGACGGCATTGATCAGCCGAAACGAATTCTCCATACTGATAGCCAGAATCACAAGCGGGTAGGCATAATATGGGACACGAGACAGGTCGATTTTGAAGATGGCGCAGATTGTGAAGCTGGAGCCGATCGAAGCCGCGATCTGGGCCAGGATAGTAACCATGAGCCCGAATCTGGACTTGACGGCGCGGAGCTTGGAAAGGCTGAGAAGAAGGTAGAAAAGCGTGAGCGAGTAAGCGATGGTCAAGAGAAACCAGTCCGGCCATGACATTGGTCGAAACTGGAACTCGTATAACTGACTCGCCATGCTCTTGCCGTCATGTGGAATGACTGTCCACTTGTCATGTACCTGCGCAGCCAGTCTCTCAGCATTTCTCACCCACTGTCGACCAAGGGGTGAATCTTTGAAATGAATCAGCGTGATAACCAGAGCGTCGGCCGCAGCAAGTCTCCGTTCCTCGAAACGCTTCCCGCTGAAGACAAATGAGTGCCGCAAAGTAATGTTAACCGAAGTTGACTGTGTCTTCTTCTCGTTGACAGTAGAAATAATATCACCGTCTGCAGCGATATTATCGGCAGAACCACCCCAGTACTGTAGAGGCGAGTGGAAGAACCATGATTGATCCGTCAAACCATTGACGATATGGAAAGCATCCCTTTGGTCCCGAGTCATGTCAACCGTAGGGTCATTGGGCAAGATACGAGATGCGTGCGGTCGGCGAGGGTTGAAGTTGGTGGTCGGTCCCAATAGTGTATCCTGCAGTTCCAGGGCTCCCAGCAGAATTTCGCGATCTAGTGCTTTCATGTAGCTGCCGTGCACCCAGACGGAACGCATGATGACGTCGGGCTCAGCGACAGCGCGTTCACTAAGCGGCTGAGCATCAGTCCAGACATGGTGAGGAAGGTTAGACACCCCGCTGGTAACATTGGTGGCGTCTGTTGTGTAGAGAAAAAATATGGGATAAAGCAGGCAGAAGACGAGCGCTACCGACAAAGGGAGCACTGTCTTGACATGGCGGGCAGTCCAGGTTCCATATCGCGAAAAGGCTGTTCGCAGAGGATGGTCTGGAGGAAGCACAGGGGCTTCGGTTGTCCTGCCGAGAGTCAGCATGATTATGCTATAGTAGATGAACAAAAGGGGGGAAATAATCCAGGATAACCAACCCTCTTAGTGGGTAAAGTAAATACCACAGCATAATCGCCCAAGCGGCTTAGGTCAGCCCCCTGTAATAGATGGAGGACTTGGTTATGACACAGGAAGAGACCGATTACATCTCCTAGTCGCAGTGATGGCAGAAAATAGATATTATGCCCCTTGCTGAGGAGAGAGACAGCTGACTGGAGCGAATGGATAACAGATCGATCTGGTCAACAAAGTCACAGTCGCATCGGGGTAGAATTCTGCCCGTGATGTCGAAGTGGATGGCCAAAGTGGAGGTGGCAAGTGACTATAAGAGGGGCCTAGAGTGAAACTGGAGACGGAGAAACTAGGACTCCTAGCTGTCCAGAAATTAGTCTGTGAGGGTGTTTGGGGGGGCCTTCCCTGTGGGATTCCCTGTCAAGCGGGTCGGCTTCGAACTGCCACCGCAGTAGCAACGGCGATGATACCGAACAGTCCAAGTGGTTGCTATGGCATCAACAAATCCCCTCCAGCAAATGAGGTGCAGTAAGTGTAGAGAGAGCTGGGGGTCGTGGTCGGTGACAAAGATGATTTAGTTTCCCCGTCGTGGTTGGAGATAAGTGAGTGGTCCGATCGGTGACCTTTTGCTGCGAGATGCTCTCTGGTGGATGCTTGGGTGCGTGCCCTCTCTGAGACTTATGTAGTATGATGTTGGCCGAGGCTTTTGCCGGGAGACTACTGGTAGCTGCTCTTCTAAATGTTGAGCTGGCGTTCCTTTTCTGGTGGTGGGAAGAAGCGGATCGATCTCAGAGACAGCCGGTGTGTGTGGTGACTGGGGCGTGCGTGTGAGTGGTAGTGGTGGCACTTGCGGCCAGTCGATCAAACGTTAAGAAATGCCAGTGACCCCAGCGAAGATCAATGCTGCGCAGTGATGCAGGCAATGGAGGCCCTAGTCCCAACGTAGAAGAGCCCCAACTCTAAAGCGATTCTAGCGTGTCACAGGGAGAGATGCCCGAAAGAGGTATGGATGGGTGGTATGGGGGTGGGTGCCGGCCTGACGGAACGTCCTCTGTGAGGTCGTAGTGAAGCTTTGGTCTCTGGAGTGGTATTGGGGGAAGGGGAGGGAAGATGAGCTGTGCTGTCCCAATAATTTGCAGAAGAAAAATAACATGAGTTGAAGCAGGGGCCTTGGAGCTTTGAGTGAGTGAGTGGACAGCGTTGGCGTCGAGGACTGAAGGTACTGTACCTAGTGTAGCTAGAACTACCTCTAGGTAGACGGCAATACCTCGGATAGGACCAGGTCAAGGGACTGAGTGAAGGATTGGGGTCGAGAGATGTACCTACACTAGTATCTTGGGGCTACCAATCCTCGATATCCTTATGTCTTGCCGAGTAGATACCTAGTTATGTCTTGCCAAGTAGATAGTATCAGTATAGATACCACTAGGGAAAAAAAGGAAGAAAAAAAAATAAGGAGAACGAACTGTGGGTGGCAGGATAACCTTAACGCAACCGTGAGCAAGGAGACTGGGAGACAAGTTCTCGGAAGCTACTATCATAAACAGCTAGAGGCACCTCGATCCACTAGGGTCGCATAAATTCCAAGCTTTGGAGCTGGTCAAAAGAGGAGAAACCGGGGCTGGAGAATCGTGAGGACGTCCACTTTTGCGCTGATTTTCTTTGGAAAAAAAATAATCTGTGCAAAACGTGAAGAGCATGGTGCTTGAACGGAACTTGGCTAGACACCGAAAGAGAGAAAAATAAAATAAAAAGATACTAAAAAGTGAAATAAAAAGGACAGGACAGGGGAAAAGATGAATGGTGACATACGGACGGGAGGTATCCGAGGAAGCGTCTCTGGGGCAGTGGCAGCCCGGGCAGCCAGGGCACCTAGCTCATGGGAAATGTTCCGAATTCGATCGTTCGGCTCAGTTCCCTTGGCTCGCAGGGCAAAGAGCGCACAATCTCGGGGACCGCATCAGAGTAACCTAACCGGGGCAGGTACCATGTACTGACGAATTCAGGGTGCAATCCGCACCGAATCCGCAGTGGGCGTGGTGCTGTGGCCAGTCCCGAATGGCCCGGGGTGGTTGAACTCCCGATCCGATGGAGCTCAAAGCTCCACCGCACCACAGGCAAAACAAGCGCAAAGAGATCTCACGGACTGAGTGTCAAGGTTTTGATGCCGTTTGCTCAAAGAAACTGAATGAGCGCGGAAACTGAGAAAGCCGTGAGGGTAGCGGTTTGCTACCTACCTATTCATGGCCCGGCGCGGTGGTCTGATTGACACCGTAACAGGAAGCGATGAAACATTTGCATTGGCAGTGCGAGTGAGGAAACATGTGGTGATTAACCCTGCAAGGAGTACCCAGCAGTCCCCAGCTCATGGAAGGTATGGTGTGTTTGGAACGCACTGTGCCATACCATAGAAGCAGGCATTCTTTCAGTTGCGAACCACTGCTCAAAAAGCCCGAAATAAAAGCACACACTGAGCGAGTCAGGTACTGCCGCCCGGACTGTTAACGACACTTCCTGGATGAGGGGTTCTCACTCGAGTTGTAGTGGTTACCTAAAACGTGAGCTTCGCCAAGAGGAACAGAAAGAGCATCCCGAGCTTTTGAACGCCCGTCCAACTGGACTTTGTCGTTCTCGGTACATCGCCGACGGTACTAACCAGAAGCCTACTAAGCCCCATTGGCTCCATCACCAACCTCCCAAGGCACCGCGCGGCGCATTACAGGTAGGCAGGTACTGTGTAGTGTACGTACATACCTCTATGATCCAAAGGATGAATTTGACAAATCGTGCAGGTCAATCGAGTGTCAAGAGCCAAAATCGTGCAACTGCGTCCGAATTCAGCCACGATTGACGAGTTAGATAAAAGGGAAGAAAAGCCGATGGAAGGGTCCCGAGAATGGAAGATCCAAGCACGAGCAGAATGATGTCAACATGTGGGGTCCTCCCCCTCCCCCCCGCCAGAGTCGCAACCTACCTGAATTTGACAAGTCCCCCTCCAACGACGTGTCCATCACTATCATCACAGCCAACCATGCCAACTGCCAGCCGACAAGACACCGCCGTCTGTCGCACAAAGAAGCCAACCCCAAGGTCACGAGACGGTGGGACTGCCTCCAGTTGGATACCAAAGGATGCGCGCGGGAGTTGTACATATAAGAAAGGAAAACAAAAAAAAAAAAAAAAAACAACAGAAAAGAAAGGAAACTTGCGGGATGAAACTCACATTGCAGCAAGTGCGCAGTAAACGCTGACTCCCGACGATGACTGCGGCTGAAAACGATGACGCCTCGGCTACCACAAGCATATGTGATGTGTCGTCGTGTCCCTCTGTGATGCGGCATATGCTGCGCGTAGCAGTAGGTACAATGTCGAGGCGGCGGTCTGGAGGCGGAGAAAAAAGAAAGAAGGATTATCGCAATGCTGTCTGTCCAGTGACGAATCCACCTCCAAGTTCAATCAATGAATGATAGTTGGGTACCATTTCTTTTTTCGCCACGGAGAAAAAGACAGCAAAGAGGATGCTTGGCTGCATGAAAATAGAAAGCGCGGTGCGAGCGAGATGGAGTCTCGGAGAGATACTGGATGCAAGCTTTCGCAGACTTCCTTCCTCGGGAAAGAAGGACCCCGTTCGACCCCGTTGTTTCTGCCCCAATAACCTCCCGCATCCGAAACTTTACTTCTTGCAATGCCACCGCCTCCCTCGGAATCATTTTATTCGAAAGCCCAAGGAGAAGGACAGCTCCGTTGTCCCTAGTGCGCATTTGCTTTCCTCCTCCCATCCATGGCTATGGGTCGTGGACTCGAGATAGACTCCTGTAGGGTCCGCGTCGTATTCGGATCTGTTTTCTGATCCCCTCTCCTCTGTCCACGAATCTCTTTGATGGAGATGGACGGGATAATCGTTGTTTGTCAACCGACGCGCCGCGCTGTGATATCGGTGTATAAATGTGAGTATCCATTGATTGGCCTTTGGAGCATGTATCCGCTCTGGGCCTTTTTAGTTTCTGTGTCGGCAACTGTGACCGTCGTCCCAATGAGAGGATTCGGAGCGGGGACCGACTAGAAGAACCAAGTTGTGGCCTAGCTGTGCCTTGTTGGCCCTTGTTGTCCACTGGTGAGAATCCGAGGAGTAGGGATCTGGAATTGCTGATTGGTGATTGCGGTAAGGCTGGAGATGGTGGTGCAGGGAAAGGGAGGGGAGAAGGAGAACCCCAAATCCAATTCTCTGAATCAAAACATGTCGATGGGGGAAAAAAAGAGAGAATGGGAAAGCTTCGTTTTATAACCAGATTTCGATGTTAGAGCAATCGGCTTTTCCCTTTACCCACAACTACCACATGGCTGTGTTGATAACTTGATGACGCTTGTGCTCTGGAACCCCCGGACCCTCAAAAGTCAGGCCATTATTCTGTCATTGATGCCACTGTCTTGGTTGGAGCGGCCCCTGATTGGCCTGCTCCGCCTCTTCACCTTTGCTTCCCGTCCTCTTTCTGTCGGATAGATCTACCCCGGCCGCCAGCAGCAGAAACGGCCATCAAGACAACCGCCAAAAATCTCAAACTTCGGGTCCCATTTATCATTTCGGTGTAAATTCCACCGAGCTGAAAGTAAACATGGGAGAGGAACAGCAAGAACGGGACCGCGATGCTATTGCAGACCTGATCGTCACCTACAATGAACTCAACAGCTCCTTCATCGAGGAGCTCCACGAAGAGCCCAGTGCGCTCGAGTTTATGAGATTCGTAGCTAGGAACACCCCTTTTGTCGTAAGAGGCGGTGCCGCAAATTGGAAGGCAACCCAAACATGGACCGCCGAGTATCTTTCCAATTTCCTTGGGGATGAGACGGTCAATGTTGCCGTTACTCCTTTTGGGTATGTTGCCTTTCAAAGATATCGTCGTCGTCGTCGTCGTCGTCGTCGTCGAAAACTTCAAGTAAAAACATAGTAGCTCACGCATCTTGATACATCACAAAAGAAACGCCGACGCCCCAACTGTCCACCCCGAAACCGGCGCTTTAGTATTCGCCAAACCTCACGAAGAAGACCAGTCCTTCAGCGACTTCCTCACCTATGTGATTCACCAAGAAAAGACCCAAGGACTTCGCAAGTCCGAGGTTCACTATGCTCAAACCCGTAAGCCACTTAAACCTCACCCCATGAATCGCCCAGTTGGGATGACCCCTTGGGCGTACGAAGTCAAGGCCCTTCAAACCCTGACGGGTATCTCATTCTTTTCTTTCTTTTTTTTTTCTTTCTTTTTTTTTTTTCAAAAAAAAAAAAAAATACTGACAGGAAGAAAAAACAACAACAGAAAACGACAACCTCCGACAAGAATACTCCTCACTCTACAGCGCCGTGCCCCCCACCATTCCCTGGGCGCGCATCGCCTTGTCAGACCCCCATCGCCTCGGTCCCGACGAGGAGGCCCAGCCAGAAGCCATCAATCTCTGGATCGGCAACTCCTTGTCCACCACCGCTTTACACAAGGACAACTACGAGAACGTCTATGTTCAGATCAGGGGGAGGAAACACTTTGTGCTGTTGCCGCCGCACTGTTTGCCTTGTGTGAATGAGAGAGAATTGGAGAGCGGGGGTTATGTGAGGAGGAAGCAGAAAGGAGAAAACGGTGATGGGGAAGGGGATGAGAATGGAGAGGAGGAGATGGGTGATAAGGGGGGGTTGGAACTGGTCATGGAAAAGGACTCGGAAACAGGCAAAGAAGTCACAGTCCCCTTCGCAATTTGGGACCCCGATAAGCCCGAGGAGAACGCGACGAGGTATTCGAAACTGGCGGAGCCGATGAGGGTGACGCTGGAGGAGGGGGATATGCTTTATTTGCCTGCTATGTGGTGGGTCCATTCCTCTAGTGAGCAAGAGCTAGTGAGTGAGTGAGTGGTTGCTAACGAAGATGAACGGCAGGTATCACAAGGTCTCACAGTCTTGCTCGCAAGAAGGGATTTGCGTTGCTGTGAACTATTGGTGAGTAGATCAACTCTCTCTTTGTCTCCTCTCAAGGGCCAGGCTGGTTCGTTTCTTGCAAGCATACATGTACTGACCACCGCACAACACCTACCTAGGTACGACATGGACTTCACCGGGCCTCTGTACCCGTTTACATCCTTTGTGAGAGCAGTCAATCAGCAGCAGCAGCAGCAGCATAACCAAAAGAATGAAGAGTCGCTATGAGATGACGAATGAGGTCATAGAAGTAGATGCAATATACCCGTATCTCAAATCTGACTTTCATCGAGTCCATTCCTCTATCTCCCATGGTGCCTCGCAAACAGTCTCTCCTTCTCTCCTTTTTCTCTTTCCATGGGCAGGACTTCTCGCACTGGGGTCTTTTTTTGTCTTTGACTACATTCAATCAGCTTTGACTCTCGTGCACCCTCCATCAAGACTTGCACGCCTTTCTCTCTCTCTGATACCACCATCTACAACAGCTGAAATGTTTCGAAGACGCGATCCCTACTTTCCATTTCCATGAGACCAGTATATACATAGGCTTCAACAATTTCTTGGTGAGTTACCCCAAGCTTGGTCAACGCCGCGACTGAAACCGACACTCGCAAAAACGAGGATGAATTGAATACGATCCCCCCCCGCAAACCAGCTATATGATTGTAACGGAGTATAATGAACAAACGTAAGAAAAAACGTCTCCAGTTAGAAATAGATTGGACACTCATTACCGTCCCAGCGCTCTTCACACTTTCGTCAGAAATTTCAAAGGGTACCTCTAAGTGGTGCGTACAGTCAGAATTACGTGCGGAATTGAAGTTCTGCTCCTTTCATTCCGCACGACTCTAAATCCGCAACAGCAAAACTCCAAGTTAACACGTGATATCATCGACAATTCCCCGATTTAACAACAATGTCAATAAAGCCAAGTTGCCCGGGTAAGCTTGTGGAACGAACAACAATGCTCCAGCTGCAACCTACGAAAACTGTACCTCGGGTACCGCGCATCCGGCAATGTTTTCATCAATGAGGACCACTGCGCCATAAGACCACAGAGCTCGTTGTGGTAGAGGGGCTATGTAACGGACCTTATATGCTGCTCTGCTGCCTGGGCCCGGGTGTCATGTCATCCGATGTCTGAGGACGGGAAGGGCGCGCCGGCAGGGTGGCGACCTCGGCGGCAGCAGGAAGTCCAAGAACCTTGAACCCAAGTAAACGACGTCTTGAAAGCTTTTAACAGTGCTGCTCTGCTTATTGACCATTCAATCCCCCTTTGATGTACAACCATAACAAGATCTGTCTTGTCACAACAACCGTCTTCTACAACGATATGAACAGGTAAAAAGGTATCGCAATTAAAACTTCCACAAACTATACTGCTGCTGGACACGACGTCTATTTCTTCTTGGAAATCCTCTTCATCGCCCTCAACTCCTTCTTCATACGAGGATCCACCATCTTGTACCTGCCCTTGACTATAAGAGTGAAAAGACCGAGTTAGCATCATTCCAACATAAAGACCACACGAGACCTCAAGGAAGTGATAGTACGAACCTCCTTTAGGTCTGCCCTGGAGACCCTTGTTGGAACCAGCAGCCTTGACAACCTTGATAGGCGCCCTCCTCGTCTTCTTAGCAACCGACGCCATGAGCTTCGAAATGCTAGCAGCCTTTTCCTTTTCTGACATGCCATCGTCACCGGCAAGCATGTCGGCCTTCTTCTTGAGCTTCTCCAGTCTCTGGGCCTGCTTAAACTTCTTCCTGGCCTTGGCCTCGGCCACCTTCTTGATAGGACGGGCGTTGTAGGCCCGGAGCTTCTCCTTAATGGCCTGCGCCGCGGCCTTGGTGATGGGCTTGTGCGGCTTGTCGTGCTTGGACTCGTCGTCAAGGAACCAGTCGGGAAGACCGTCGCGGTCCTTGAAGGCGTGCTTGGTGTAACCGTCGTCGATGACGTCGTAACTTGTCTTCTCGCCGGTCGCGAGCTGGTGGGCGAGGGTCATGGCCTCGGCGGTGATGATGTCGATGTCTGTAGTTGTCATAGTCAGCCATTGCCCTTACCAGGTTATGTTGAAGAGGGACTGAGTGAAACCTACCAGGCCTGCCGTTCTTCTTCTTCTTCTCAACGTTCTCCCAGTCATCATCCTCGTTGTTCTTGACAACCTCGAAATCGTCGTCATCGCTCTCCTCGGCCGCCTTCTTGCTCTTGGCCTTGGTTTCCTTGGCTTCCTTCTTCTCCTTCTTATCCTTCTTAGTGACCTTGAGGTCCTCCACAGCCTCAACAAGCTCAGCCTCCTGAGCCTCCTCCTCCTCAGATTCTGGCTCCTCCAAAAGTCCTGGTATTTCCGCAAAGATACCTTGACTGAAGAAGTTCTTGGCCCGCTTAGACAAACCATCCTTCTCTTCTGGCTGGCCGTCTAGATCTGTTATAAGCTTCTTGCCAGATTCACCATCCTCTGAGTCGGAATCAT